CTGCCTCAGCTTCCTGAGTAGCTGGGATTACAGGCATGCGCCACCATGCCCAGCTAATGTTTTGTATTTTTAGTAGAGACGGGGTTTCACCGTGTTGACCAGGACGGTCTCGATCTCTTGACCTCGTGATCCACCCGCTTCGGCCTCCCAAAGTGCTGGGATTACAGGCTTGAGCCACCGCGCCCGGCCTGGTCATTTTTCTTAGCTTCCCTAGCCCATTCCCCATGGGGAGCTGGGGGTCCTTCCGGAATGCCCCTTCTTTCAGGTGCCCGCCTCGCGCTCCCAGGGAGCCACCCCCATCTCCTCCCTCACAGGGGAAGTACACATTGCCTCAGCTCCTCCATGCACCTTAGGATCCCTCTTGTCCTCACACTGGTGTCTTCAGACGGTATGTCCTAAAAGTAAACGTGGGTAAGTTGAATGACCTGAGCCTCCATTCCTCAGCTATCTGGAAAGCAGCGATAGTGCCACCCGTCTTAGCAGTGTGTTGAGGGTGCAGAGCCTGTTGGCCAGGACTCACCGTGCCCAGCATGTACCTTGCCATCCTGGTTCTGTGGGCTCATTGAGTTCCTCAGATGAGGTAGAGGGCAGGGGAGGGGCTCCTCTTACTGTCACCTCAGTCTGACCACAGTCAGGACACTTGTTATAAATACATAGGTGAATGAAAGTAAGTGTTTTAAGCCTTTACCTGATCAGTCTCCAGGCTGTATTTTTTTGGCCTGTTCCTCCCTTCCTCCTGGCCTCCACACTCCCATGCCTCTCATGTGCCCCTGGAGGAATGGGCGCCCACTTCTCCCTTGGGAACCTGTGCTTCGGGGCACTCTGTCTTTACCTCCTCCCTTTATCTCCCTTGATGACTTTCTCTCTTGCTGCTTCTCCCATGGCTCACTTCTTGCCCCGTTTGCCATTCTGCCCCCACTTTGTACTCCTTCTAGAATCTTGAGGTGAGTCCTCCTGTCTCTCCAGCCCTGCTCTGCATCTGCTCCTGCTTTGTGCTGGCCCATCAGGTTCAGGCATCCAACTGGCAGCTCTTTGGTTCACCCTGTCTCTGGTTTCTCCTGATGGTCGCAGGGGTCTTTGGGGTTACTCCAGTCCTTTTTCCTTCTTCCCTCAACATCTCTTAGTCCTGCCTTTTCAGCCTCTCCTTTCCGTCCTGGTTTTCTGCCCCCAAACTGTGGACCCTGAGCTCCTGCCGTGAACTGTGGCCTGTGCACTTGAAGTCCCGGTGGTGATGCATCACTGCATGGGTAGAAAGCGGCTTGCTTACTGCTGCTTAGCTGCTTCCCAAAGAGGGAACAGGCTGCTCGCTGGCCTTGAGCTCTCCATGCCTGGCCCGGCCTGCCCTCCCTTCCCATTAACTGCCGTGGATGCCGAGTGGGGACTTGGAGTGCGGAAGGTGGAACCTTTGAGGGAAGGGGCATCCGAGGCCACCAGACTCAGAGGGAAGTTTGCCATGGATTCACGTGGGGGCCAGCCAGGCAGCGTCATCAATTAGCTCATAGCTGCGTCTCCACCGCAGGGTCCCATTCAGGTTGTTGAGGCGGGCAATGGTGAGGAAGAGCCGGGCGTGGGTGCTGGAGAAGAAGGAGCGGCACAGGCGCCAGGGCAGGTGAGTGCCAGACTGGGAACTGGCAGGGTGGGATGGGGGGGTAGGGATGGGAGTGGAGACCTGTTGCCACTAAGAGTTCCCTTGAATTTGAAGAGTCCAGGGCTGCTTTGATCTTTTTTTCTGAGACTGTCCTGTTCCTTTTCTGCACAGGGAAGTCAGACCTGATACCCGGTACACCGGCCGCAAGCGCAAGCCGCGCTTCTAAGTCAGCACGCGGTTCTGGACAGGCGCTTGCCTCCGTAGTTTTCTATACTGAAGTGTTCCGCTGACAAAGTAGTATTTTAGAAAAGTTCTAAATGTTTCCTGCAGTAAAAAAAGTTCTCTGGGCTGGGCATGGTGGCTCATGCCTGTAATCCCAGCACCTTGGGAGGCTGAGGCGGGAGGATCATTTGAGGCCAGGAGTTTTAGACCTGCCTGGGCAACATAGTGAGACCTCGTTTCTAGGGGCAAAAAAAAAATATATATCTCTTTGTTTAAAAGCAAGAAGTAAAAATTCCTTTTGTGAAACTCTGGCATCTCCCGGCTCCGCTTCTCACCAAACTTGGGTTCCTCTGTTGGGCTACTGCACGACTCCCCAGGCAGTTATTAAGTTTAAAAAACTTCCATGCATGAAAACATTCTTCGAATTTGCAAGGAACACAGTTTCCTTTAATTTGGGGCTTATATGACTACATCATCTCACACTAAGCAAAGTGGGGAAGAGGGCCCAGATGAAATGTTAGTGGTGCCTGCCGGCCAGTCTGGTTTCCCTTGCTGTGAAGGCCTTGCCAGTCCAGCGGCCCCAGCCTCACCTGTGGCACTGAGCTGCACAGTCAGCTGCCAGCTAGTCTAGCGCATGGACGTCTTGGGCTGATCTCCTTGTCCCCTTGCTAGTGGTTGGAAAGGGCTGGTCCTGCTCTGGGGTAGTGTGGGACCATCCGGCAGGCTGTGATGGGAGAAGAGGTCTACTGGTTGCTTGAGCCTTTCGGGCCATGTGGGAAGAGGGGCAAGATCCTGGGTGTTGCGGTACAGAAATGATCAGGGCTTCGGTGGCTTAAGGCATTTGGGAGTGGGTGCAGGGGCCAGAGGGGCTGGGTTGTCAGGGAGAGGGGTGAGGCTTGGGGTATGAGGATCTAAACCTTGAATTGGGGTCTTCTGCAGGTGTCAGATTCCAGGCCTTGAGCATGGTCTCGGCCTGTTCTCATGGACTAAGGCCTGGCTGTCTCCATTGTATGGCCAGAGACAGGTCTGAGGAATTTGAAGGCCCTGGGTGGGGTTGAGGCTGAGTTGGGACCCTTTGCCTCTGAGGCCTTCCTCTTAAGAGCCACATCCATGCATCCTCAAGTTTTAAGACTGTGACACTGCAGATGGCAAGAAGTCCAGAGCAGCCAGGCCAGGTGCAACCTGTGGTCCCAGCTCTGTGGGAGGCCAGCTTGGGCAATAGCGAAAACCCTCCTAGGGTTTCCCCCCAGAAGATCTGGGGAAAAAACCTAGAACAGAGGCCTGGTACAGATACAAATGTTTATTCTACATAAAAATTTCACAAAATGGGCAGCTGGTTGTACCAAGACCTTTGGTGAAGGGGTTCTGGGGAATCGCTGTTGAAGGCAGCACGGACAGTGGTCACAGTCACTGGGCAGGAGTAAAGCCGAGGGAGGGTGGGGCACACACAGTCCCATCCCTGCTGCATGCACTCGCATGCATCTCCCTGCCTGTCCACAGGGAGGGGGTCCTGCGGTGGGGACACATTTCCCATGAGAAGCCCCAAGGTGGTGAGGAGGAGGAGGTAGCCCTCCCCGGCTGGCTGCTGAATACTGCATCTGGGACACCTGACAGACACCCACGTGGTACATTGATGGGGGACGGCAAGGGCAGAATGATACTGCAGGCCTGAAACGACATCTTACTTCCCAGAGCGCAAGACAGCAGGGGCCACCATCCCAAACATGCAACACTGGCTCGAGGGCCTGACTGCAGCCTGCTCTGTCTTCCTAGCTGCTGGGGTGGCTTCCAGAGGGACACCTTGGGTCAGGCCCAGCCCAAGGGATTGCTCCTGGGGCTGGAGGAATGTGGGAAGGGAAGCGGAGACCCCTGACCCGATGGACTTTGCCCCTCGGCAGGGGAGGGAGCCTGGAGCCACGGCAGCCTGAGCCTCCCTGGCAGTGATCGACAATTGAGGCTCGGAGCTGGGCTATCCGTCAGGGCCACCTCTCCCCTAACCTGAAAAGCAGCACCATGTGGCCAGCTGGTCCCCACCCCTCAGGGCTCTGCTTGTGGGGACAGCTGGAGAGGCCAAAGGACAGGGTAGGTGAGTTGGAGGCAAGGTTGGGTCCCCAGGGAAGAGCGGACCCTTGGAGCCACTGAGTCACTAAAGGTAGGGAAGGGTGGCCTGTGTCACCCCGGCGGCCCTGCCTGGGTCTGCCCCTCACTGTGCACACTGTGCCACACCCCGCTGGCTGCCTCCCTCGCCTCTTCCGTACAGACGCACACTCACAGATCATGCACACGACACAGGGCGGGGACGGAGGACCCATGGCAGAGAAGGGAGCATAAGGGCTGGGAGGGACGGTGCTCTGAGCAAGAGACGGGGGTGGGGAGGGCAGCCCAGCCAGGCGGTAGCAGCCAGGGCCTCCTCGGAGTGGCCCACCCGGAGTGGAGTGGCAGTTTGGGTGGCTTCTAGGCGAAGATGCCCCCGACCGTGGAGGCGATGACGATGCCCAGGATCACACAGCAGATGATGATCATGATTTTCTTCTGCGTGGGGGGCGGGCAGGAGAGGCCTCAGACAGAGGTGGCAGCAGGGGGGGAGGGACTACGGCAAAGGCTGAGGGCTTGAGAGTCGGGGGGATCCAAGTGGGGGAAGGTGATGGCCTGGGAGGGGGCTGTCATGGGGAGCTCCCAAGAGTGGGAGGAGAGGCGGGATGGGGAAGAGATGTGGGATGGCTTGGGATCCCTAATGGGTGCTGGGGCATGGCTTGGGCAGGGCTGTGCTACTGACCCGGCGTGCCTTGCTCTGGTACTTGACGGCCTTCTTGGTGTCAGACACAGCTCTCTCCACGTAGTCTACCGCATGCTCCACATTGTACTCGATCCTGTCAATCATTTCCCCCTGCAGGGCCGGGGGCACCGGAGCTCCAGAGGGCCCCCTCCTCAGGGTTGGGTCGGGGCTCAGGGCAGGACTTCAGGAAAGCCTCCTGAGGCTAGAGAGAAAAAGGGGCATGAGATGGACGGGGTACAGCTGCTCATGTGGGTCAGGCACCCTGGGCAGGGTATAGAGAGCCAGGCAGGCTCCCCAAGGCAGCTCCCACATCTCCCCGCAGAGCAGCAATCCTGGAGGTGGAGCTGGCCATGCAGTCTCAGCCGAGGGTTGGGGACCATGCAGAGAACACTCAGCAGGGGACTGACACCGTGACAGGTGTTAGAGAGGTGGCAGTGCCAGGCAGGGGAAGGTGGGGGCAGGAGTGGGCATGCTGGAGTCTGGGCTGCCCTGGCCATAGCTCCTGAGGTGACCACAGGTGAGCCTCCCTACGCCACCATCGATCGTCAAGCATGACGCCTCCATCTAGCTCTGTCTGCTGTCTGGGGTCTTCAATCTTTAGGAACCCCCTTCCCAGCCCAACAGTCCTCTTGAGCCCTGTGATCTGGTCCCATGCTGCCCCTAGAGGCCAATCTGACCGTGACCATGCCCCACAAGACTACTAGGGCGTGTCTCCCTCTCCAAGTCCATCCATCGCCTTCACTGGCATCCATGTCACCATGGTCTGTTTCTCACCAGATGGCGGCAGCAGCAGCCTCCTCACGGCCTGCTTACGGAAACCAAGGTCACATCACTCCCATACTTAAAACATTCCAACCTGGCCAGGTGCTGTGGCTCACATCTATGATCCCAGCACTTTGGGAGGCTGAGGTGGGAGGATCACTTTGAGCCCAGGAGTTTGAGACTAGGTTGGGCAACACAGCAAGATCCTATTTTTTGCTAAAATAAAAAACAAGCCTCTCAAACCCCCTCCAGTATAGAAGAGACTGCAAATTCCCCAGCACTGCCTGCCAAGGCTCCGTCCGCCTCCTCTCCGGCTTCATCTCAGCTCGGACCCTCCTCGTGCCCTCGAGGCATGGACCTCCTTTTTCTGTTCCTGAAATAAGTCCGACTCTTGCTGGGCTCGGGACCTTAGTGTTGCTGGGGCCAGCTCTTCATCTTCCCCTGGGAAGTCTGCACAGCTGGCTCCTTTTCACTCTTTCCACCATCAGCTCAATGCCTCCTCCTGAGAGGCCTTCCTTGACCACTCACTGCAACCAGGGCGGCCAAGCCATCATGGTCATGGTGTTACTCCAAGTGTAACTGGATCTGTAGTGGCAGCGGCGTCACCTTTGAGCCTGTCAGAGAGGCACCTGCTGGGGCCTCCACCTCACCTGCCAGCCTCTGCAACAGGGACCTGGAAAACTACCCTAAGCCCTCCAGGTGGCTCATTCAAGTGTGAGCCCAGTGGAGAACCTTCCATCTGTTCTTAGGCAGTCCTTTTGCCCAATAGGCATTCACTCCAGGAAGCAGGTCCCTCGGCTGTCCTGGTCACTGCCATGCCTTCAGTCCCTGGGGAAATGCCTGGCCCACGGTGGCCCCATGAGGAAACAGAAGGGGAAGGAGAGACAGCGGGGTGTGGGGGGTGGGGCCATGCAGGGCCTGGGGTCCTTGAAGTCCAAGCAGAGCCATGCAGAGGACAGGGGCCTTCCTGGGGGCAGGGCCCTGGCGGCAGTTTCAACTGGGCGAGTGGTTACCTGAGAATTTGGTCCCTCCCCGGCAGGGCAGCGTGTCGGGCAGAAAGGGCGAGGTTAGGGCAGCCCCAGGTGCTGCTGCGGGCTGGAGTGGAGGACGGGGGCCCAGCGCTCACCTGGCTCTCCACGAGCATGGCCATGTCCATGAACATGTCATGCAGCTCACGGATGCTGTTCTCCAGCTTAATGATCTCGCTGTGCCGCGTCTCAATCTCACTCAGAGCCTGCTTTGAGATGCTGGAGTCCATGATGATCTGGGGGTGGGAGCAGGGGGCTGGGACCCAGAGGCCTGCTGAGGGGCAGGGCAGAGGGCCAAGGGCGAGGGCGGCTGGCACGGGCAGAGCTGCTCCTGAAGGGGGCCAGAGGCTTCTTCCTGAGCCACCGCCCTCCTCGCCTTGCTGTCTGGCTCTGCCACCTGCTAGCTGTTACCTACTTTCTCTGCAACTCAATCTCCTACCGGTAACCTGGGGCTAGTGACACTCTCCACCTGTGCTGGCCAGAGAGCAAGTGCTCAGTGACAGTCGTTATCACCAGCGTTTTGCAGAGCCCAAGTTGACTGCCCCGTGGACCCAGGCCTGGAACCGTTTTTCTCTCATCCCTTCCCCATCCCTTCCCCAACACTGAATGTGCTGCCTCTCCCCTCTCTCCTGGAACTCACAGCCCCAAACTGCCTTGAACACCTGTGTGCCACCTCCTTCAGGGAGCACCCCTGCTCGGCTTCACATGAACGCAGTGATGGCCAAATGTCCTCCA